GCCAATTATCTTGGCAAAAAATATTGAGGCTTTACTATTTAAGTGGAAAAAACCCATGGCCTTCTGGGAGACCTGCACATTTATAAATGGATTCCATCCTGCTATGCAGAATGTTTCCTTTAGAACTCAATTGGGAGGATATTTTTCTGTCTAAATATCAGATGTCACTCAAAGGCAAGATGCGGAATTCTGAAATACTGCGATGAAAGACAGTTTCCTAAAAATTATTTACTATATCATCATAAAATAAGAGATGTTCTGGGTTCTAAAAGCTTATTTCAGATCAGCTCTACAATTGACTCGATTAAAAATTTAGATAATTACAAAAAATACCTTAGGCAACCAAAAAAGAAAAAAAAAAGGTAAAGAATAGAGCTCATTAGCCTTTTGTCAGTGACGGAATAAATTTTATTGTATGCTTAAATGTAACGTCAAAATAAAAGATTGGGTGTTTGGGATGAAGTTGCTTTGACAGTTATATTAATTGCTACAGAGCCAATGACTTTAGTGTAACATGACAGAGTTTATAAAGGTTGATGATCTGAGTGTGTTCAAAATGTTATAAGTCTGTAGACAGGCTCCATTAAGGTGCATACATTTCATTAACTTCTATGATATGAGTAGCTCCTTAATTAGCATTGAAAAGAGTGTTAACAAAATGCTTGGTACCTTGGCAGTTGTCAGATCTGAAAAATTATTCAGGTTCCCTTCTTTAAATAGTTTGACACATTAACTAAAGAATTTGAAGGTAGAAAACAATGTAAATATCCTATTCATATGCATACTATACAGATAAATATTCAAAATTCAGTGAGGTGTGACCTAAGCAGTTCTTATTAACTAAATATTCTTCCTACATATACACGCAGACGTGTAAAACACTTTTCTCTAGTTGATTAAAACAATCATTCCTTTTGAAAAGGCAGATTTTTTTTAAGAAAGGGGGGAAATTACTGTCTTGATTAATCGTGACTAGAATACATATAGCCTGCAGTTAATTAAAATCAATTATATCTTTGCAGTCCTATTGAAACTAGGAAAAGACAATAACACATCTCCTACTGAATTTCAAAAACTCTTCTCTTTATATTCAGGCAGCATTCCCAGATGTGGCCAAAATCAGAACGTGGGTCCAATAAGCTCCTGCCCAAACTTCAACTTCCAGGCTGAAATGAGTTGAGAACTGTCTTGTGTCTTTTTCTTTTCTATTTACACTCCGGAGGATAGCATTCTCATGGAACTCCAACTATAGAAAGCAAAAGAAATTAGAGTCCCAGTATTCTCAAAATGCTGTTAGAAAGTAGAGTTAGAAGAACACTTTCTCTGACATTCTAGTTGAAAACAGAAGCATAGGAAAACCAGAAAAACCACAGAAGAGTAAGTGGTGATAAAGGCCAGGTGAAGAAATTATTGAAAAGAACAAATAATCACTTCTGTTTAGGGATGGTATGAGACAATGGAAGCAGCTCCGATGGGGCTGTGTGGATGAAAAAGTCATTCCCATTTGTTTTGAGCAATCTGTTAAGCAGTGCTTTTCAGTGATGGCAGCCCTTAATGGAGACAATTTTACACAAGAATGAAAATAATGTGAAAATGTAAACCAAATGAGAGCTGGCCCTCTGTGCAGTGTTTTACTCACCCTGTGCAGTAACTGATGTTCTTCAAGATGAGTGTTTCTATGAGTGCTCCACTCCAAGGGTATGTCTAGACTACCGCGTTTTGTCGACGGAAGTTTTGTCGACAGATACTGTCGACAAAACTTCCGTCGACAATTTGCGTCCAGACACATGGAGTTCTGTCGACAAAGCAAGCCGCTTTGTCGACAGAACTCCGTAGTCTGGACGCAGTGTTACAGGCAATAACACCTTCTGTCGACAGAGTTCTGTCGACAGAAAGTGTTATGCCTCGTAAAATGAGGTATACCAGCGTCGACAAAACCGCGGAGTTCTGTCGACGTTATGTCGACAGAACTCCGCGGTAGTGTAGACGCTGGTATTGTTTTGTCGACAAAAGTCCACTTTTGTCGACAAAACTAGGTAGTCTAGACACACCCCAAGTCAAGATGTCTTCCTGTGCTTTTGATTGGAGATTTTGACAGCAGTACCCCCTCTGGGCTACACACACTCACTGCCTGCTTTGTAAGTGGTCATTCCTTGACTAGTAAGTAAACAACCTGGGATCTTTGGTTCCTTCTCAACAACTGAGTGAGGTGCAGTTCTGAAGTAGAGGGGAGGTGGGTGAGTAGTGGAGCATCCAAAAGGGGACACATCTTGAAGAATATCCGTTACTGAAGAGGATGAATAACCTTCACTTTTCCTTCAAGAGAAGTCCCTGCAGGTACTCCACTCTTGTTGTTTTAAATAATTGTTAAGCAGTAATTGTTAAGCAGTATCTCTTAGGGTGGTTGGGGCTTTGGATGAGGTAAAAGGGCTGCTGCTAAGACAGCTCAGTTCATTATAATTTCAGATGATGAGCCTTGTAAGAGGGCATAATGTTTTGCGAACATAAGGTTTAATGTCCACATGGTTGCCTTGCATGTCAGAAAAAGGAACATTATGTAGGAAGGCAGTGGAGGTGGACACAGATTGCATAGTGTGTGCTCTGTTGGCTGTTGGAGTTTGGACTTGATTCTGTTGCTAAAATAGACATATACGGGCCACAATCCATTCTCCAAGTAGAGATTGTGTTTCCCTGGGATCAGTGAGTGGTCACTTCAAAGAGCTTAGACATGTGTCTGAAATGTTTTGTCCCAGATAGTAGGATAGTGCTCTCCACACATCCAGAGCCTTCACAGCAGTTATGAATGGGTTAGCACGTGGTTTTGGGAAGAATGTTCGTAAGTGGATTGGCTCGTTTAAGTGAAAGAATGTGTACCTTATGCAGGAATTTGGGATGAGTGCAGTGTGTGACTTTTTCACAGAAGAATGTAGTAGAGGGAGGGTTAGCTATAAAAGCTCCAAGCTCTCCTACCTTTCTAGCACAGGCAATTGCCACTGGAAAGGCTATTTTCATGGCTAGATGGAGAAGAGAGCAGATGGCCAGTGGTTCAAAAGGTTTATGGACTAGGGCACTGAGAACGAGATGCAAGTCCCACGGAATTTGCATATCCTCTTTTGAATCTTCCCTGTAGTCTAGACGAGCCCTCAGTGGTTAATTATTTCACAGTTAGGCTGTGTCCAGACTCAGGGTTTTTTTCGGGAAAAGTAGCCTTTTTCCGAAAAAACTTCCCCTGCGTCCAGACTCAAGCCGCGTTCTTTCGAAATTAAATCGAAAGAACGCGGCTTTTCTTTCGATGGCGGTAAACCTCATTTCACGAGGAAGAACGCCTTCTTTCGAAAGTTCCTCTTTCGAAAGAAGGCGTTCTTCAATGTAAATAGGGCTTCTTCGAAAGAGAGCATCCAGACTCACTTTTTCGAAAGTTCAACGTGCAGTCTAGACGCTCTCTTTCGAAAGAGGCTTGCAGTCTAGACATAGCCTTAGATTGTTTCCCTTTCCTTTCTCTTTTGTTTTGTTTTTAAACCAGATCTTCCTTTTATCTTCCTTGACTTGTGGGCTACTGTTTGAGGAGAATTTCAGTCATACCTCAGCATACACAGCCATTTTGAAGGCAACAGACCCTCCCAACAAGAATGCACCAACCATGGCTTCTGACCAGGGCGGCCCATGACTGTAGGCTGACTCGGTCATCGCCTAGGGCACCACCTTCAACGGCACCCGATGATGACATCATCGGGTACCCGGCACGCCTGATGATGTCACCCCATTGACGGCCCATGGACCGATAGTACGTTCCGCCTGGGATGTCAGCTGCCACAGCTCGCCTCGGGCCGCTCCTGCTTCTGACAGGAGTTGTTCCTCCACATTGGAGCATCCTGCAAAACTATCACTTGGAGAAGTTGGCACCTGTGTCCACACCACAGAAATCAGCCCAAAAGAGCCATGCTACAGGTGAACATCCAGCACTGGCACCAACTGCGCTGTCTGCACCAACTGCATTAGCAGCATCAGGAGCTGAAATAGCAGGGAACCCCAGCACTGTGAGCACCTCTAGATACAGGGACTCTACAAGTTCTAACAGAGGCACTAAGCGGAAATCAAAACCTATTGGAACTTCAAGCTGTCCACAACATTTGTTCCCACTTTGTACCTCTCATCAAGGAAAAGGCTATTCAAATTATTTTGGTCAGTATAACCTGCATGTATTCTGTGAACAAGCAAGAGGGAGCACTCTCACATTCCCTTTGTGTGGAAGCCATAAAACTCTGGTAATCATGCATCGGACACAATATCCACATCACCACGACATACTTACCTGGATGTCAGACATCATAGCAGATACCTGCAGACTTTTTTCTCAGGACCATGAGTGGGAGCTTGACAAAACAGTATTTCTACACATATTTCAACAGGAGGGAGTCCCAACAATAAACTTCTTTACAAGTACACAAAATACCCAAATACTCCCATTTTTGTTCCAATATATGTCCTCAGCTTGCTGTTATTTAGTTGGCATGGTGTCAAATAAAACAAATGGCATCCATCCTAGTTGTACTAGTATCTATACTGGATTCCCTATTAGAACTCAAAGAGTCAGGCCTATCCATGAGCTCAATAAAGGTCCACCTGTCTGCTCCCACAGCTTTCCTCCCTAAGGTGGGTCAGCACTCCATCTTTGCCCAATAACCATCTGTTTCCTCAAAGGACACAATAATATCTACCCCAAACTAAAGTGAGCCTACTATATAATGGAGTCTCAATCCAGTCTTTTGGGCCTTCACCTCTCCCCTGTTTAAACTTATGGTGACTTACTCACTACTACTCGTTTCTAGGAAAGTAGCTCTCAGGGAAATTACATCAGTCAGATGCTTCGAAGAACAGGGAGCTCCTATGGCAGAGCCCCCCCATACACAATCCTGTCTCTCAGATTGCATCCCAAGTTTTTGCCAAAAGTCATCTGAACTTTCCACCTTAACAAACACATCTACCTGCCAACATTCTGCCATAAACCCCACAGAGGCTATGTCTAGACTGCAAGCATCTTTCGAAAGAGCCTCTTTAGAAAGAGAGCATCTAGACTGCATGGAGAAATTTCGAAAAAGCGGCTTGCTTTTTCGAAAGAAAGCATCCAGTGAGTCTGGATGCTCTCTTTTGAAGAAGCCCTATTTACATTGAAAAACGCCTTCTTTCGAAAGAGGAGCTTTCGAAAGAAGGCGTTCTTCCTCGTAAATTGAGGTTTACTGCCATCGAAAGAAAAGCCGCGTTCTTTCGAATTAATTTCAAAAGAACGCGGCTTGAGTCTGGACGCAGGGGAAGTTTTTTCGGGAAAAGGCTACTTTTCCCGAAAAAACCCCTGAGTCTGGACACAGCCAGAGAGAGAACACATTCCATGCTTCATGCTCTTGATGTTCAGAGGGCATTGTTTGCTTCCATGAGACCATTTTGTAGATCACTCAGACTATTCCTGTCCATCACTTCATGTGCCAGACTGTGCACCCTGTGTAAATGAAGAGTCTCCAATTACATAAAATTCTATCAACAGTGTGACCACCAGTCCTCCACGAGGATTCTCAACATTCCGCTAGAGCACTATCAGCCTCTGCTGCTTTTCTGAACAACATCCCTATCCCAGACATGTGTAGAGCTGCTACCTGGGCCTCAGCCCATACCTTTTATGCAGCACTATGCCTTAGGGCACATCTGATAATTGCTTTGGACACTCTGTACTGTTGTCACAACCTGAATGCTGAAGACCCCTTTTTCCATCAGAGGGCACTGCTCTGAAGTCACCTAAAGTGGAGAACCTATAGGAACAGCCCTTGAAGAAGAGAAGATTACTCACCCTGTGCAGTAATTGAGGTTGTTCGAGATTTGGGTCCCTCTGTGTGCTCCCCTACTTTCCTCCTCCTGCTCTACTTTGGAGTTTCTTATTCAGTCTCTGCAGCAGAGAAGGAACAATGTGGGGGTTGGTCATATAGCACCAGTGAACTGTTTGGATCAGTGCAAGATAGGGACCACACATGTGCATCCCAATTGGGCACTGCTACCAAAAGTCTCCAACTCCGAGCACCTAGGCACACAAACACTGAAAGTGGAGCATCCACAGGAACACACATCTCGAAGAACCTCAGTTAGTACACAAGGTGAGTAACTTTATCTTCTTTCAATACTTTCCACGTTGTCAATGTATTTCTGGGGATGAGGTACTTACAATAAAGGCTATTTCAAAAAGAAAGAAAAAAAACACCTTGGTTCAGGTTGCCTGGTGACAGTACTATAATCTCTCATCATTCACTAAATTCAACATGTAAAAGAAGGAAATATGCAATAACGAGCCTCATATTTTAGTCTAGCTGCATAGTAAATAGTCTTATAAAATTTAAAGAAATACTTGTATTTTAGGAAATCTTCCTCTTCTGCCTTACTTTTAATGTTGGAACTATGTGTCAAATTACTTCCATCACTTACCAGTCACAAAATAATATAGAACTTGCTGCTGCTTCTATAAGACCATTAGATTAATTTCCTCAGGGACACCTTTTAATCTGCTCTCTTCTTGCTTTCTGATCCTTAAACACAGTTCACATTATCTGTCAATAATGCATGTACTGAGAAATACACGTTATTAAATAAAAGGAAGGAGAAAATAGCTGAGGTCTTTGACCTCCTCCCCCCCCCACCCCCCAAGTGCATCTAATCAATATTTACTACTAGATTTATGTGAACAAATATGAAAATTAAATGCTTAAATATCATGTTTGTTTGAGCAAATGTGAATTTTCATGCACAAATGAATCAATTGTTAAGTGATGGCAGGCTTAGCTGCAAATGCATGTCTTCAGTTTATAGGCCAAGTTGAATCTGGTGGGACATCTGTTTTTTTGTAGTCAGAATTTTTTAAATCATAGAGGATGGAAGATTTATCCTTGGAAGAGGAAGTTTTTAATGTGATCCCAGAGGTTTGCTATATTAAGATGAGGATGCAACTTTAGCAAAAATACTGATGCTAGTAAGGAGGAGGATTGCAGGTGAGTCTGGAGGTTTGTGTGAGAAGGAAAAGCACATGTGCTAACCTGGTAGTACCTGTTACCAGTTCATTAATCATTCTTGTTACAATAAACTGGGAGGTGCATCTCTTCAGACAGGGGCACTAATTTGGCATTTCAGTTCTTTTGCCATGGTATTTGTGATGGTGTGCGGACACAGAAGACCCCTTGGAGGTTCTTCGCGGAGCACTACAAAGCCACTGACACTTGCCTCCTTGCTCTCTGGGGCTTCTCAGCACCCTGTCCTGCTGGGCCAGCTCACTCAGCCAAGGCACAGAGTTAAGATCTCCCCCTCCCCATGGAGCAATACAGACATTGAAACTCTTCAGGTCTGAGGAAAATGAAGCTTTGGACCCAGCTTCCAGGGAAAACACTCCCCAAATGGGATCAGAATCCCAAATTAATTATTTAGTAAGCCCTCTTTAACAATAAAAGGAGGATGTACACACTGATTGCTCCCCCAGGTAACAATTACTTACACTGGGCTTGATAGTTAATAAAAGTGACTTATTAAGAACAAGCAGTAGATTTTAAGTGGTTGAAAGTTAAAACAAAGTTAATTACAAATAACTACAAAAAAAAATCCAAAACCAACCCCCCCCCCAACCACTTAGCTAATTCTAACACAAAATCAGCCTAAAACTGTTCTTATTGCAGCTAAGCCTCCAAACCAAGGAAGTCTCCTTTTCCCTCCGGTCTTTGATTCATTCTTTTGGGCATGCCATACAAGCCAAAGACAAAGAACTGAAAAAATTTGCAACTTAAATAGCCTCCCTTTCAGGCGGGAATTCTGTTTTACATTCTCCCCTCTCATGGAAAAATCCTTGCTCAGCCCCTACCAGATTGTTCTATCTACTTCCCAAGATCCATAAACCTGGGCACCCCGGACGTCCCATTATCTCTGGTATTGGCACGCTCACTACTGGTCTATCCAGCTATGTAGACACTCTTCTCAAACCCTTCGTAACCAATACCCCCAGCTATCTCCGAGACACTACTGACTTCCTAAGGAAACTACAAAACATCGATAACCTCCCCAATAATACCATCCTTGCCACCATGGATGTAGAAGCTCTATATACCAACATCCCACATGAAGACGGATTACAAGCAATTAGAAACACTATCCCAGAGGACACTACTGCCAACCTGATAGCAGACCTATGTAACTTTGTTCTCACCCACAATTATTTCCAGTTTGAGAACAACTTATACCTCCAGATCAGCGGCACAGCCATGGGTACACGCATGGCCCCACAGTATGCTAACATCTTTATGGCTGACCTAGAACAACGTTTCCTCAACTCCCGTCCCCTTTCACCCCTCCTCTACCTACGGTACATCGATGACATCTTTATGATCTGGACACATGGCCAAGAAACACTGGAGATATTCCACAGAGATTTCAACAACCTACACCCCACCATCAACCTCAGCCTGGACCATTCTACACGAGAGATCCACTTCCTGGACACCACCGTACAAATCAACAATGGAAAATTAGACACCACTCTCTACAGAAAACCCACTGACTCATACAGTTACCTACATGCATCCAGCTCCCATCCAGAACACACCACACGATCCATCGTCTATAGCCAAGCCCTTCGATACAACCGCATCTGCTCTAACCCCACTGACAGAGACCAGAAGCTTCAGGATCTCTACCAAGCATTTATAAATCTCAACTACCCACCCAGAGAAACAAAAAAGCAAATTGAAAGAGCCAGACGAATACCTAGAAACCATCTACTTCAAGACAGACCCAAGAAAACCAACAATAGAACACCACTTGTCATCACCTACAACCCCCAACTTAAACCTGTCCAACACATTATCAATAAACTACAGCCTATATTGGAACAGGATACCATACTCAAAGAGGCTCTGGGAGACAGACCCATAGTCTCCTATAGACAACCACCTAACCTCAAGATGATTCTTACCAACCACCACAGGACATACCACACTAATACCAACCCTGGTACCTTCCCTTGCAACAAACCCCGTTGCCAGCTTTGTCCACATATTCATTCTGCTGATACCATTATTGGACCTAACCAAGTGAGTTATAAGATCAAGAACACATATTCCTGCGCATCCAGAAATATAATCTACGCTATCATGTGCCGAAAGTGTCCGTCTGCTATGTACATTGGACAAACATCTCAGACACTTCGCCAAAGGATTAATGCCCACAAAACAGATATCAGACAAGATCACAAAGAGAAAACAGTTTCTTGCCACTTTAACCAGAAAGGACACTCTCTAAATGACTTAGCCACCTGCATTCTGCTACAAAGACCTTTTACATCTGCACTTGAAAGGGAATCCTCTGAACTGTCATTCATGTTAAAATTCGACACTTACCAACAAGGACTTAACAAGTCTTTGAACTTTCTCACCCATTACCAAGACAGTTTCCCCAATTATCACCTGTAATACCATTAACTCACAAACATCCCACTCTCCCTACCTTTAATATCAGCAATTCACAGACACTTACCTTCCTTCCTCCCCCTTCCCACCCCCCCGCATCCCCCTTCTGTTCTGCAATGTGATTTGTCCTTTTCATATTTGTTCATTTTTTTAAATTGTATCCTTTGGTATATATGGTTGTGACTACTTTCTTCCACTATTTGATCTGAGGAAGTGGTTCTGGCCCACAAAAGCTCATCATCTAATAAACCATCTTGTTAGTCTTTAAAGTGCTACATTGTCCTGCATTTTGCTTCAGCTACCCCCAGACTAACACGGCTACATCTCTATCACCCATTACCAAGACAGTTTCCCCAATTATCACCTGTAATACCATTAACTCACAAACATCCCACTCTTGTCCTGCATTTTGCTTCAACTCTCCCTACCTTTAATATCATCAATTCACAGACACTTACCTTCCTTCCTTCCCCTCCCCCCCCCCGCATCCCCCTTCTGTTCTGCAATGTGATTTGTCCTTTTCCTATTTGTTCATTTTTTTAATTGTATCCTTTGGTATATATGGTTGTGACTACTTTCTTCCACTATTTGATCTGAGGAAGTGGTTCTGGCCCACAAAAGCTCATCATCTAATAAACCATCTTGTTAGTCTTTAAAGTGCTACATTGTCCTGCATTTTGCTATGACTTCCTAAGACTAGCCACTGCTAAGACTCAAAGGTAAAAAGGGGCTGTTTACAGGTGATCACACAGACATTGAGGGAAACACCCTTGATGGTTTTCATTTGCACATTTAAAGCCATAAACCATTCCATACTCCATATATCTAACTTTATACACAAGAATGATACTTACACCTAAGTAAGATGTACAGACTCAGTGGATTATGACATTAAGAATAATAGGTTACATGAGATATTTTGTCCAAAGCATCTTTGAGTTTTGCATATTTGTGTCCATAAGTAATTTTCATAAAGCGGGAGGAGGGAAGGGGAGTGTCACAGTATCAAATGCAATATTCCATTGAACAGCTACTCAGCCAAATAACTATGCATGTGTTTAAATCCCATTGATTTAAATGACATTTAAATACTTTGTGGAATTGGGGCCTTGTATAGAAAGTGAGACACACTACAGCGGTTCATAACATGTACAGCTGTGAATTGCTTCTGGGAGTGTTGAAAATAATCCCTGTGTATTGGACAGGGATGAATGTAAGAAAAGCCTTGGGAAATGGATCTTTCTCCATAATATAGCCATAGCATATTTTATTTGGCTTATTTAAACTCATTACAATGGAGTTAACAAAATAGTGTGTTTTGCATGGCCCTGATACACTGTATTTTTAAAGCAAAACTAGGGCAAAGATAAAGATAAAAATGATGGAAACGCTAAATATTTTTTAAAAGTCACTTAAAATGACCAGATTAAATCAGAAATATCCCTTGACTGTCTGTTGCTATAAATTGTCTAATAATTCTCATGTGACTGTACTTTAAGTGCCATTTAATTATGTTCCCATATACAGTTTCAAAGTGAATTTTCTTTTTATGTTTGACACACAAATTCTATTCATTCAGTGTTAAAACAGTGATTCAAACAGAAATCTATAAGAAATAATTATAAGATGCTTAAATGGTGATTATAGGATATCATCTGACATAATAAAATTTTATATATAGGCTTTCAAAAAGAGAGACAAGTGCTTCAGGCTTTTTAGGAAATATGTATGCAATTACTATATATAGCTTAAAAAAAAGGAAAATGACAGAGCAAATGCTTGGAACACAGGGAAGCAGAGAGGAAAAAGTTTAAGACCTGCATTATGCCTTAAATTGAACAGAAAGTTGCACTGGAAGTTTGACATGAGAAGGAAGTAAAAGTACTGACCATTTGCTTGGATGTAGCCAGTTTACTTTTCTTCTCAACTACCATATTCAGATGGCAAAGCCTTTCTAGAGATGCTTGAGACTCAGGCTAATTTCCTAAATGAGTTTCTAATTTGAATATAATAAGTGGGAGAGATGATGTGGATATGTCTCCTGGTTAAATGATGTGAAGAACCTCACCGTAGAAGAGCAAATA